AAATAAATATATATATAAAAAAATAAAAGCAAAATGCTTAAATAGCACAAAAATGTGCAGCCAGGTGAAAAATATTTGCAAAAAATAAAGTATAAAAATATAATTGCTATATCATGATCTTTACAAAAGGCACAAAAGCAAAAAAAAAAAAAAAAAGTATGTCCTAAAATGTTCAACCAGGTGTAATTTAGGCTAAAAATTTACAAAAAACATGTCATTGTTTTGTTAAAATTTATACTTAATATACTGTGACTTTCACAAAAGCAAAAAAAGAAAAAGTTCCAAAAAATGCACTTTCACAAAAGAAAAAAAAGAAAAAGTTCCAAAAAATGCCTTGAACAGTTTTTGCCCCAAAAAGTGCAACTGTGGGGGGGGGGGGTCATTTGTGCTAAAAGGGTCAAAAATGTTTAAAAAAAATGTAACATATAATAATATTTTTAAAAAATGATCAAGAAAGTCTGGTGGTCTGTTTCTGTAGTTGGTTGATGAGCTCACAGAAAATGTTGCTGCGGCTGCTGCTGCTGTTGCTGTTGCTGTTGCTGCTGCTGCTGCTGCTGCTGCTGAAGGCTGGAGAAACAACAGAAACTCCATCAGCTGTGATGTCGACTTCTCAGAGGAAAACCATAAAAATCCACTGACGGTAGAGAAAGTCACATTTTGACTCATCGTGAAACCAGGAAAGGAAAAGTACGAAGGTGTCAAACCTCTAACCATGAACGCTGCACAGGCGGCGGAGAGGAAGCGCCGCCTCGGCACCGCAGTGTCAGCGTAGTACTGAGTACACATCTGTACACATCTGTCACCCAGGTACAGTGGACTGGGTGACGACACGGAGGCTCAACTCCAGGCCTCGTTCCCACTACTGCGTCCAGACCAGCGCCACCCGCTGGCTGCTGTTTGTAATCAGCGCCTTCATTTAGGAGGAGAGAACGAGGGTCTTTTGAAGTGGAGGACCCACCACCTCTGCTGCGTGTTCATTAAAAAAAGTTATTCTACTTTTTGCCCTCAAAGTTCATCATCGGGCTACTGATTCACAGCGGCTTGAAGCCGGACCCCCGCGCCGCACATTTAGCCTCTACAAAGAGCTGCAGTCGGGACAAAGAACACGTTTTCCCATAAATACTCAAATTTGGCCGAGGTAATGACGCCGGCACAAATGGCCCCCAACCAAACTAACTAGCCGTGATTGCCGGTTAATTCATTTGAGACAGGCGCCGTGCCGAGATCAAACGAGTCGCTCTCGCTTGTCTCACCTGAGTCGCAATGAATTTGCTGACCCTCGCAACCTTTCGCATTTTTCTATAAGGGGCAGGAGAGGCCGGAAAAGAGTCGCCCCGGGGTAAACGGGGTTAGTGCACATGAGGTTTGGGTTTGTACCACGCCAGTGCAGTCCAATAAATCAGAACCCTCTGCACCGGCCCACGGCAGCCGAGGACCGAGGGGTTCCTCTCTGGAACCGATGATCGACCGACCGATACGGGCGACCTGTCGCCGCGGCGAGAACATCGGCCAGAAAACGGTTCTGGTCTGAAAGTGAAGAACTAATGCACGGCTGTAAACAACGTTCCACGCACATCCTGTGTGTGTGTTCTGTCTCCGTGTGGAGGTGAGGCTTGAGTTTCATTATTAGACGCCTTTAATGACCGGGGGGTGGAGGGTGGGAGGGGGTAGTATGTGAGGGGGGGGGTCTTGGAATTCCCACAACCTGCACATGTGAAGAGGATTTAGTTTGGGTCTTTTGTTCTTGACATGAAACAGCGCATGGTTAACGGGGGCCTGAAGGCACCGCGGCCAGGCTGCACCGTGGGTGAGGATCCCTGGTCGCTCTTATTATCCTGAGGAGTCACTAATAGCGCAGCATAGGGTGGTTTATGGTGAACTGCACTTTATGAATCACAGACATTTACAGGGTCCTGGGTTTGACGCCTGGAACCAACAACAACTTCTTTGATCTGGTTAAAAACTGTTGTTTGTTTGTTTTTTTCATTTTGCCCAATTAAATTATTTTCTAAAAAATGATCTTCTATATCTGAGTTTGGAAAATCAGGGACGGATGAGGACGGATCAGGATGGATGGATGAACAGCATGAATATAAACACATGTTTGTGTAGAACCGATCGGCACCATCAGTGGTGCTGTTCTGTATCTGATCATCGGAGCTCCTCTGTCAAAGCCATCGCCGACACAACAACCTAATTACATCCCATAATAGAGACGAATAACATGTCTCAATAACTCAGAGGGGAGTCTTCCAGGGACAAAGGACTCCATCACCAGCAGGGCGGCGACCTCATGACCGTGACCCTGACCCTTTACCCACTTAGAGAAACTGCAGACAAACACGTGGCTGCTGCTGTAGATCAGGGAAACTTTTATGGCCAGACAAGGTCCAGTCCAGTCCAGACCAGGTCCAGTCCAGTCCAGTCCAGACCAGGTCAGTCCAGTCCAGGTCAGTCCAGTCTAGTCCAGGTCAGTGGGCTTCAGTCTTCACTGATGATAAGAAGTACACTGAAGTACAGCTTTACTCCAAACACCACAGACATAATAAAACAATAACAGAACCAGAACCAGGAAGGTCAAGTTTTCTACTTGAAAATGAACAGAACCAGAACAACAGAACCAGAACCAGAAAGGTCAAGTTTTCTACTTGAAAATGAATAATCAATAAATGTCTTCAGTAGAAATTTCAAAGTCAGAAAGTTTCTTTTCACTCACCATCATCTCAAGGTCCAGATCTTCAAGGCTACATCTGCAGAAGACAAAAGAAGAAGAAACGTTTCAGTGAGCGCAGAGGGAACTTTAAAGTCTGAAAAAGTGGAATTTTGAGCTAAACTTCAGTTATTTTAGAGATTTTTTTTAATATAAAAAAAACAATTTTCTGGCTTTTTTCATCTTTCTCCTTCACTGAAACATTTTACTTAGACATTAGGAAGCATCAAAACGACAGGTAGAAGTTAGCTTAATAAAATAAAAACAAAACAAAATCTAAAAGGAGAAAGAATAAAATTGTTTAAAGGTTAGCAACACAGTATATTTTATTTCATTTTTTTATTTTTTTTTGTTTTGTTTGTGGTATTATACGCAGTATATTTTATTTCATTTTTTTGTTTTGTTTGTCGTATTATACCTTTTTTTTTTAAATCACTATTGTCTGGTGAGGTTCACGTCTTGTGCTGGTTCCTGGTTCCTGGTTCCTGGTTCCTGGTTCCTGGTTCCTGGTTCCTGGACCCGTCTCAGGTTCCTGCTCTTATTTCTCTTTAATAAAAGTGGAGAAAGATTGATGCTGATGGTCTGTTAATGGTGATGGAAGAACCTGTAGAACCTGAGACCGGCACAGCTGGAACCTTGTCGTCCACTTCCTCTTCTGTTCTTAACGGTTCCTCTTAACTGAGGAACGTGAAGAAAACGAAGGAAGTGCAGGTCAGGGCTCCAGCTGTGGCTGCGTTTGTTCTGCACGCTCTTTAAACACATGATGTCGACGCCCGGGTCATGTGATGTCACCCTGGGTCACGGTTTGAAAGATGAGATTTTTTTATTAAAAAAAAAACCTAGAAAAAAAAAACGTTAAAAGATTAGAGCGGTCGACAAGAATGTGGTAAATGTGTTCATTGATTAGTGAAACTATCAGATGAAATTAAGAAGTTTTCATATTTCAAGCTGCAAATTTCAACTCATTGCATGTGTTTGTGGAGGCTCAACCTCAGGTCAGCGGCCCAGCTTGAGTCAGAGACCCAAAAACAAAAAAAACAAAAAGGTTCAAAAAATGGCTAGAAGAAGAAGACGAAGATTAAGAATTTATCTGCACAATATAATTACTCGTCTTCCAGTACGAGAATTGGAATTTAGTATCCGGCCAGATATTAATTACGTAACAACGGACGTTAATTTAACACGGCATCAAACCCATTTTTTTCTCTCTGGTTCTGTGAAAACCCTGACTGACGGTTCATCTAAGTCGAGTCGAGGGACTGAAGCTGCTCTCTGTTTGATTTCAGCCTGTTAGCACCCCCCCCCCACAGACCCCCCCC